TTCTCTTCCTATTTTTCCTAGTTATCCCAATCACAACCGTATTACAACAGTTAAAGAGGGCAAAACAACATTAATATCTTCAACTATCACCAAGATTTGTACACCCTAGTATCGACTTTACCACCTCGTTCATCAATTCCCTCTTCAACACCATCGGCATCATCCCATCAAAATCAGCACCCACAATTCTAACACCTTGGGGTTCATCAATCTTTGTTAGTGTTTAGTTTCAAGATTAAAGACTTCTTCGCTTTCAGGCCAATAGCTTTATCAATCTCCCCAAACCAATCATCCCCAGATCTCGTAGTCAAAGGATCTAGGATTTGCCAAAGGGTCATCGGATTCAACCGAAGTATCGAGATAATTGGATAGGAATTAGTTGGGAAAAATCCAACTAAAAAATGCAAAAGTAGGAAGAATTCCGTCAGTTTTGATAGCTTCAGTTTGGGTAGGTTTGATGGGTTATCAGATACGAATTCGGATTAAACAATACAAGCTCAGGCCACGTCATAATCCATATGGCCCAATAAGAAGCCGCGTTAACGGTGCCCATAGTATTGGCCGTAAAAAATAAATCTTTCCCCAAATTAAAACCCCAAGCCCTCCGACGGCCCAACTCCCTTCTGGCTAGTCCGGGGGAGGTGCCCCCAGCCCAACTTCCCCCTCAATTTCGTCCCGGGCCAAAAGGGAACATTCCCCGGTCCAATTAATTGCCCTCGTCCAAGTTCCACTAGCAAAGTGGATCATGTCACTCTGTGGAATTCTATTGGCCCAAATGATTATCAGGTCCAACTCTTCGAATTTGATCTTTCCCGGCCGAGTGAAATTATGCAGGGAAAATTTGGGACTCTTTCCTGCTTTAATTAATTTGTTCTCTTAAACCTTCATGTTGTCATATATGTGGGTGTCGCCCTTTTTCTTATGGTATGCACTAATTTGCATATATAATTTGGTTATTATGGTGTGCAATGACGTGTGGGAGGCGGTGTCAACAAAGGGAATGCTGGCCAATCGAGACCTCAGCATTGATAAGTGTTTGGAGTTGCGGGTTCTTAAATTTTGAAGGTAAAAGCTCGGTGTTGTCCGCGAGATTCCCTAGTAAAGATATGCAGCTGGAAAGAAGAGTGAAGCTATATAAATAGCCTATTTCAGCTAGACAACCGAGTCGATCGAGGAACATGGACAAGCTACTATGCCTGTGGTGGAGTTAATCTCAGTAGGAAGGGTCCTGTTCAGAAATTCAAGATCAGTGACAGAAAAATCAATTTGGAGCACTTGAATAACTTAAGAAGCAGAGTTCCTGAAAATTGATTCTCGGAGCTTGAGCCAATGGCTTCTCGGAAAAGAGGTTAGAATTCACACCTTCTTCATGAGTCATTAATGAATGATAAATTAGTTTCTATTCCATTAAGCTCTATGCATGGAATTGAGAAATGTTATGAATGCTAGAATGAAAACTTGAATGGATGCATGATAAGTTGACAATGAGATATATTACATATCTCGATGATTAGAACATAAATTAAATACAAGTTGTGAATATAATTATTTTGTCTAAATGCGTGCATTGAAGAATATATGGGAATATAATGGGTTAACGGCCCATAGTGACGATATTGTAAGAAGTACTATTGTCAGTACTAAATGAACCACTTATGCTGCTCTGTAGGGGTGGGCAATGAGCAGGTTGAGTGGGTTTTCGTGTCAAATTAACTCATCCGCTTACTAGCGTGTTGGAATAATTATGACCCGCAATCCACCCACATTCTTGTGCGGGTCGGGTTGGATGGGTAGCGGATGGGTGCGGTTGGATCGTGATTTAACCGCAAAAAGAATTCTAGTGAATCCATGTAGTGTTTGCATAAAAAAATTTACTAGTCAATCTCCCAATTGTGTAGAGAAAACTTCCGCATGTTGTGATTTTGATACAATTAATAATATATAGTTTTCATCCCAATATATAATGGATATTAACAATAATTTGCATTCCAATATCCAATAAATGGATATTACATAACACAATAACCAATAACAGTAGTCAAAAGTATTATTTATTCTCCACATTAAGAAGTATATGGTCAGTCCGTAGTGCGGTTTGGAAATATAATGAATATGCGATACTACAAGAAACAACATTTTTCATGTGAAAATAGGAAGCAGGTCATTCAGGTAACCCACAATCCCCCACCACCCACCCACATAAGTGTGGGTGGGAGATTTATCAATCTGCAATCCACCCACATTAATCACCCACAACTTGCGAGTCAGGTTATTTGCGGGTGGATCGATATCAATCCACGGATTACCCACCCACATGCCCACCCCTACTGCTCTGAAACCTTAAAGTTTCAAGAATGAGAGCAACAAGTCAAACCATATCCACACCAATTAGAATGGTACTCTTCGTGGTAACCAAAAGATTGTCAGTCAATCCTCTAAGAATGGTGCTATTTTTATCTACTATGATTGTGGGAAACTAGGTCATATGACACGATAGTGTATGAACAAGTTTAACATGGTATCATCGTTAACTTGAGTAAAGAAGAGGATTTGGTAGTAGAGGATGACCTTTATGGTAACTCTAAAGAATGGTTGTTGGATAATGACGCCTCAAGGCATCTGTATGATAAACGAGTTAAGCTCAATCATACATTATTGATGCGTGAGAAGAAAGTGTTGTTGGGTTTTGCCTTCATCACTATTGTTGATGGTTCTGGAGAGTGGAAGAGAACCTTACCTCGAGAAAAACGTTGACTATGCTAGATGTAAGGAATGATTAAGTAAGTAAAATGAATTCTTCCATGTTTCTGTGTGAAGAATTAGAATATCCAAACTATATGACCCATAAAAATATGTTTAGAAATCAGAATCGAATTTTTTATTATCTATTTTGATAATGGGTAAACATGATGGAATGACACTAAATGCTCTATAAAGTGCTCTGATTGTCTCTCTAGTTATTTGAAATGACTTGAAATGCTTTCTCACATCATTAATTATTGCGCTGATTATTTGATATGTTGCTTGCATGTGGTAAAGTGAAGAATCAGTGCAATATGATAACTAGAAGAGCATACGAGTGTGCTTTATGCCGTCAAACACATAGGTACAATTAATGAAATACTAATTATGTTGTGAAATCTATTGATGATAATAGTTTTCCATTTAAATTAAGAAATAGTGGGGGGTTTTATCCTATATTCTATTAGAAATAATGGAACTAGTGAGGGTGGTGAATCTGAGTATGAACTTAGAAGAAGAAAACGAACCATAAATCGCTAAAAGATTTTGGTTATGAGTTTGTTATCTACACCCTAAGAAAGATCCTACAAGTCTGCTAGAAGTTTAAACTTCTGTAAAGGTCCAGATTTGTGAGGAGAAGCCATTACTAATGAAATGGAATCGTGAGAGTCTATAAGACTTAGAAACTTGTAGAGTTACCTCTTGGTTGTGAATTCTTAGGTAATATATCAATGGAATCGAGCAATATTTTTCATTTTTAAGAATAACATCTTGGCAATAAAGCCATGGGTAATAAATGGACTCTTAAAAGAAAGCTGAAACCTGATGATTTAGTTTATGACTTATGAGTATAAGAATCGCTTGGTAGCTAAGGCTTTAGGTGAAAAGGAAATTTTTGATAGATTTCTATGAGATTTATTCACCTGCCAATTTGCAGAATAACATTCATGTATGCTCTGATTGCTTTTTTTGCGCGTTAGATGGATGTTAATAGTGATTTAGAAAATCTACATGGGACAAACTAAAGGGTTGTTATTTCTGAACATGCTTTTAAAGTCTATGGTGAGACAAATCATGGTATGATTTGAAATAGACTTTAAAGATCATGGCATGCATGGATGGTTCCCTCTCATGGTTTTTGAATGAAAGTGACAAGTGCATTTGTTACAAATGACACTTGCACTATAAATGCATGTTGATCTTTGTTGCAAAGACTCATGATGCAAATAAATGTGAAAAACCATGTTGAGTGAGAACTTTGATGAGAAGGATCCAAGTGTTTCGCTTAGACATCCAAATGACTAGGACAGTGAAAGAGATTTTTTATAGATCAATCTAACTGTTTGGTTAAGATCTATAAGAAATACAAACTAGTTGTACCACCAGTAAAACCATTCCACTTGGTAAACCGGCGCAACTGTATAAACCAGTTTGACAACCTTGCTGCATCCCAACAGCCAGAGGTAATCGATTGGTATTAAAATCCAAGCTAATTGTAATGCTTTCTCTCTCTAGGCCGTTGAGCTCCGAAGCGTTTTCCCACTTCCGCGCGCCTCATCTGCGGTGGTGTTCTCCTTTCAGTGGGCGCTCCTCGTCGCCGGACATCTGATACTTTCTTCTTCTTCCTGTCCCTCGCTCGTTCCTTGCTACTCATGGTGGGGGAACGCTCCTGGGAAGATCTTTTTGGAATCGCGAAGAAGAATCGGCTGGTCTATATCGAGCCTGAAATCGTGGGTGGAGGGCTTTGTATACTGCCAGAGCTTGAAGATGAGGGAATTTTTTGTTGGCAGCATTGTCTGGTAGGTCAATTTCTTTCATCCTCTCTGCACATCAAGCAAGTCCAATCCTTGGCGAATCAGTTGTGGGGGAAGAAGGGTTCGATTAGGGTTTCTTGGTTGGGGCACCGTTTGCTGCTTTTCAATTCCCAACTAAGCAGGTTGCGCATTGGGTTTTCACGAGTGGTCCATGGCATCTTCACAATGACATGTGTTATCTGCGAAAATGGGAACCATGGATTAGGGCAGAGAGTCCTAAGCCAACGATTCCGCTGTGGGTCAAGTTCATCGATTTACCGCTGGAGAATGTCACTAGTCGGATTGTTACTCGTCTGGCTAGCATGATAGGAAGACCCTTGTGGTTTGACAAATCAACTCGACTAGCACAACGGTTGGGCTATCCCAAGTTCTGTGTTGAGGTTGGCCTGGACGCTGAGTTCCCAGAGTCATTGAAGCTCGTCCCAGATCGAAGGCCTGCTTTTCATGTCCAGTTGGAATATTGTAACATGCCGGTGGCTTGCAAGAAATGCCATCAATTCTAGCCAACAGGAGACGGAGCAGAGTGTTCAGGTTGTTGAGGATTCGGTTTCAGAGGGTGTTTCGGGGGTTGTGAGTGTTCAGGAGGCAGTGGTGATTAATCAGCAAGGCAATGCTCAGGGGCCAGAAGAGATAGAAGTGGACAGGGGGCTTTAGTTAGCAGTGAATAATCTTGTTAGTTGTTACAAGCTTAAATGCTGGAGTTGAGAAGTGGCAATCCTCTAATGTGATTCTTCCATCAAAGTCTGATTTCCAGGCTGCAGTTGCTAATCAATCCTTGGTTGCTTCATCATCAAACTCCTTTGAGGCATTATCTTCCCTGGATCAGTTTGAGATTGGATCACTAGTTGTTGTCTCCCTCTTGAAGAACAGTAAGGATTTCCCCGAATTGCAGGAGAGTATGATACAGCAGAAGGGTGGTAAGAAGAAGGTTGGGAGACCTTCAAAAAATAATACGAATAGTAAATGATAGTTCTGTCCTGGAATATGAGGGGCTTTAATAGTCCTGATAAGCAGGAAGAGTTAGTAGCGATGGTTAAGAAGTATAAGGTAGACTTAGTGGCAATTCTTGAAACAAGAGTAAAGAAAGAGAAAATGCAAGTCATAAGAAAGAAGTGGTTTCCTGACTGGCAAATTGAGGACATTTATTCTGCAGCACATGTAGGCAGAATGTGGATCTTGTGGAGAGCTGACTTAGAGTTATCTGTTCTGGATAGTGGGGATCAGTTCGTTCATGGTCAGGTAAAAAGGGAAGAAGGAATGCAGGTAACTCTAGTTTAAAGTTCTAATGAAGTAAAGGAACGTCTAGACTTGTATAATAAACTGAGGAGTGTGGTGGACAAGAATAAACCATGGATGGTAGTAGGTGATTTTAATGCTATAGTACGTAGTCAGGAAGCTTCGAGAGAGGTTGATTTAGGGGAAAGTGATCTAGACTTTAGGGAATGGATAACAGACATGCAGTTGGAAGATCACAAGATGGAAGGGCCTTGGTTCACTTGGTCAAATAAGCAGGTAGCAAACACTTTGGCAAAAAGTTTGGATAGGGCAATGATGAACACTGATTGGTTGAGTAAGTTCCCCAGGAGTGCAGTAAAGATCCTTCCGCCAGGGCTTTCTGAGACTGTGGTATCCTCATTCATACAGACACGCAGACAAAAACCTTGCCGAGGCCGTTTAAGTATTTCAGTTTTTGGAGGAATCATCCAGAGTATGAAAGGTTAGTGAAAGAAGCTGGGATGCTCCAGCTAGGGGCTGTGCAATGTGTAGACTATATAAAAAACTGAAGCAAGTGAAGACCAGATTAAAAAGGCTAAATAGAGTCCATTACTCCGATATACACGAGAGGATCCTGCTAGCCAAGGCCTCTCTGGCTGCAGCTCAAGTTGAAGCCTTGGAGCGTCGTACTCCAGCCTCATTTACAAGAGAGCAAGAGTGTAAGGTCCAGCTTAAACTGCAGAAGGACGAGGAAAGCTTTCTTAGGCAAAAATCAAGAGAATCATAGTTAGCAGAAAGGGATACGAATTCAAGGTTCTTTCATGATTCTATGAAAATACGAAATAACAAGAACAATATTAGACAGTTGGTCACTGAGGCAGGGCAAACACTAACTGATGTGGAGGACATTGGGAAGGAAGCTATAAATTTCTATAAGAAGTTACTGGGGGTGGCAGATGTAGAGGTGCGAAAGTATCATATTAACATGGTCAAGAAGCTGCTTGTCCATCATCTTCCTTCTAAAGTCACTGGTCTCTGTGCTCCAGTCTCATCTGAAGAAGTCAAAGCTGTGGTTTTCGTTATGTGGAGAGATAAAGCCCCTAGGCTTGACGGGTTACAGCTGAATTCTTCCAGCATAGTTGGGCTCTAGTTGGTGAGCTGGTCATAGAAGCTGTAAAGGACTTCTTTACTTTGGGCAGATGACTCGACTCTACTGTCACTCCAGGAATTGGCCAAGTGTAACCACTTCCTAAAGCGTAGTATAGCGGGTTTAGGTTTAATTATCAACCCGGGTCCTAGATTTGCTGACTACTCAGTGAGTTCTTGTTATCTAGCAATAAAACTGGAGTGCAAGTCTAAACTACCAAACAAACAAAGCAAGTAAACTGGTTGTATTCGGGTTAAAGAGGTCACCCGGATATGGTTCCCCCTAGACTGCAGTTAAGCCGGATTGTAATTACCAAGTTCAGTTTCTATGAAGATTATACTGCGGAAGGTTCTTAAACAGCCTGAAGTCTCGACTAAAGGTCTCCAGACCCTCTCAATCTGACTCTCTGGCGGGCGACTAACCTCCACCGGAGTCGACAGATTGAGGCCCTAAGAACAAAACCTCCAGTACCGGAGTAAATCCGGTACAGAATAGTGAGTTGGCTCCTCGACTAAAGTCACCAACTCCCTAGCTTCAATCAAGGATACTCTATCAACCTAGGCAGATATTCTCATTCTAGGTTAAAGTAGAAACAACAGGAATTTGATCAGGATTCAAGTCATTCAATCATTAAAACCTCAATTGAATATAATCAACCACAGAATCAGTACTTGGGTTCATACAATCAAAGTCTAACATACAAATCTAGGGTTCTCCATACCCAGATGAATGGGAGAACTACTCCATAGAGAAGAAAGCAAAAGCAGAACCAGACACGGAATTCATACTGCAAAGGATGGATTCCTGCTTCTGGACGTTGATTGGCACTTCTCCAAGCTCAAGCTGGCCTCCAATGGTGTTGAAGATCAATCTAGGGCACTTGGAAACTCTTGCTCGTCACTTTCTCTCTCTAGGAACTGATCTCTCTCTCAAAAACTCGAATCCCCCTGACTTGTGGCTGAAAATCTGCTTAAAAGCATCAGTGGCTAAAGCACGGCCGTGCTTTGCCTGAGCCAGCCCGTGCCTCGGCCAGGGCTTAATTACACGGCCAGCAGCTGTTGGAAACACGGCCGTGCTTCGCGAGGTACACGGCCGTGCTTTGACTGAACACGGCCGTGCTTCATTGCCCGTGTTTGCAACCGAATTGGCCAAAACAAATTTGCTCATGGCATAAAAAGCACGGCCAGCAGTACACGGCCGTGTAATGCCTTGGGTCTGCCCGTGTTTTGGCTCCAGCTCACCGAAATGACTTCCGAATGCCCCGAAACTCGTGGTTAGCCTTCCCTTTAACGCCTGGGACCTGAAACATGACAAAATAGCACAACCCGGCGTAAAATAGGCCAAACACACACGACTATGCCCCTCAAATGGATAAGAACTAGGGGCGCAAATATGTGCAATTACATCGTTATCAAATCCCCCCACACTTAACCGTTTGCTTGTCCTCAAGCAAACCAAGTCAGACACAAGGTAAGCTCAAAACAACAAGGCATGACATATCGACACAAAACACGTGGATCATACTGGCTTTCGATTATTAACACATGGACAACTTCAATGACAACCTAGACAACCACCACAGATGACATTCGAATGCAGTAAAATCGAGCAAAGGAAGAGTCTCCCTTCTGTTCACCAACCAACATAGACTTGACTCAACCACTTGTTCGAAACAGTCACATCATGCACAAAGTTCAAGATATCAGAATTAAGACCGAGCAATCTAGGTCCTCACCGGGATAAAGAGTATACAGAATAAGAGAAAATGAATCGCTCACTCTCGACCAGTGGGGTCAGGACAATATGATGCGAAAATTGCGCATGCTCAATCTCTCAATCCCTAACATCTCTTCACCATGAATGCAGCCTCTAAGTGCTAGAGTCACATATGGGGTGTCATCACTAACTAATCCGGAGGACTTAGACACAGGTTCAGATGACTGGCTAGGGTCTTGGACATGGGGAAAAGGCCTTTTAGGTGGTGGAAGTATTCATACAGCACAAGGTTCCACCTTTCCAAACCCAACAGATTCACAATCAATCGAACCCATAACTTTCTTTCTGCTACTCTTCATTACTCAAGTTCAAAACACAAGAGCGAAGGAGGTTACATAAATGCTAGTATTTCTAAGCCAGACTGCTAAGAAACACTATTACATGGGCATTACTCAGAGTTTTGGTGGTGGCTCTCTTTTGCTTTCATTTTTTTCTTTGATTTTCTTTCATCATTTTTCATTTCTTAAGAGAACCACCACCTCTGCACAATTTCAAACACCTGCCCAACTTTTAAGCACTACCTCCAACCCTCACATTACACTTAGCAGAAACAGCAGAGAATATGTAAAAACCACTCTGTGGAACCTTCTAAAAGATGCAAAGGGTGATTTTTTTCATTTCAGACCAAAAGAAAGGATAACACACGGCTCAAAGGGGCTGACTAGGGGGTATGACACACTAGGACAGTCAATTTGGTCGTGGGCTAATCCTATGCCTCCATCATCTTAGCTAACGACAACGTGAATGCTGCATATCATGGAAGAGGAAACTATCGCACAAGAAAGAAACGAGCAGGCTCAAATCTCACATGGCTACCTATATGCTCTATCTCTCGTTCTGATTCCCTGAACTAGATGCATAAATGACTGTCAAAAGCAAGTGATCAAACCAAGTCACATTTGGTGAGCAGACAGCTGAAAAACTGAACCCCTACACAATTCTACTGCACATCTCAGTCATCACAATAAGTTGTCTAAGTCACACTCAAGTCGTCGTGTATCAAGTCAAAAGCCATTCAATTCTCTAATCATATCCACAGTGCCAATACGATCAATCAAGCAAACAGCCGTGCTTGGAGCCCTCAAATCTCAAGATTTGGACAGTGGACTAGGCTCCAAGCACACATATATATACGTTCCAATTCATACAAAGAACCCCCCCACACTTAAACGCGACAATGTCCTCAATGGAGCAGAGGGAAGGGGAACGATGTTACCGTGAAACAGTGGTCAGGAACGCTGACTGGATGGCGGACCAGCCAAAAGAAGGGGCACAGAGCTAGAGACACAAAAACACACACTGGGTGATAGAAGTCAGAGTACCAAGTCTACAATCCGAGATAAAACAAAACAAAACGAAACCACAAATCACGGAGTCTCAGTCTGGAAAATAGATGAAGTACAAAACCCTCTCTAGACAGCATCACCACCATCGTCGGTGGGTGGAGGGTACTCATCCTCAAACCCCGGGGACTGCACGAACGGGTAGTGGACTGCGTTCGGGTCCAAGCCCAAGT